GGTCTGTAGGTGTAAAAGTATTATAAAATTGTTAGATTTAGTTTATTTATATTTAGCAACCCACACCAGAAATACCAAGTTGTACAAAATACTTACAGCAGAATCTTTTTAGAAAATGTTTCTTTAAATATAGGAAACATTTTACCTTTCTTATCCCTTTTATTTGCATTTTTTAAGCATTACCTTTTGTGTTAGTCAACCACGAAAGTCCAAAGATTTGTTTTTGTATTTTGTCACTAGAGAGCGCTGTTTGCCCATCTTTAACCGGTTACACCCTCACTTTTCAGTCCACTGAAGACCAACTCTTTCAAAGCCGAGGCACCAAGCCATCATTTAATCCTCCCATTCAGGCCTTTTTGAACCAAATTCAGTTCCTTTATTAATACCTTCTTTGATATATGAACATATTCAGCCCCATTACTGCTGCAGAGGCCCCCGAATGGTGCCAAKTTCGGACGTCACCTTCACCCCCACTGCCTCTGAGTAATATCTGCCTCCAGGCTGAGGAGGCTCCTCTGTCTTCYACCATTACCAAGAAAAACGATGTCAATAAAGCAAATGCTTGTGATCAGAGCTGCTCTGCGACCTTGTAAAGGATGGATACTGGTTCTGATCCTGCATTATGACTACATTACTGGATCATATTTTTCACTTCCAAAACACATAAAAAGAATAAGAGGGCACTGCCTCAACTTCTAAAGCATTGCTTATACTCTAACTAGATTTTTATGTTTTTAAAAGCAACTTTTTTGTATGTTTCTCAAGACTGTTCTAGCAAAAATGACATCTTTACTCACACGGAATTAATTTTCTTTAAAGAGTTTGTATCTATAGGTGAAGCTATCAAACCACCCCCCACCCCCAAAATCCCATTTCCCAATTYGACCCAAAAAAGGTCCATGGTGAGTAAGATTAAAGGAGCAACACATCAAAATCCTCTTTGAATACTCCAAACAGGAGGGGCTAAATCAATTAATTCATTAACTAAGTAGAGGTCACAGCCAATAGCTGGTCTAAAACAAATTAAATCAATTAGTCCAGCTAATAAGATGAGAAAGACTTTAATTAGTGAAAGTTTAATCAAAGTTGTGTTGTGTTCTGGGAACCACTGGTCCCATCAGACTGAACATTGGATAAATACCTGCAAATATCATCATTCAACCATGTTTTATGAGCTTGTCTGACAACTTTTTTGGATACAAGAGTCATTTTATTGGATTTTTAGCATGAAAACCTGAACTTTGGTTAAAGAATTTATTCCTTCATTAATTAAACAAATTTTAAAAAATGTGGTAAATAAATAACAGCGATAAAAAAGGCAAGGGTGAGAAA